GTGTGCCAAATGTACAATCTAAGATATATATAAAGACTAAAACTTCTCTTATATAACACCTTTAAAAATTCTGGCTTTAGGCGGCTGGCCTGTTAGCTCACTGGGTAGAACGTGATGCTGATAACACCAAACCAAGAGTTCAGATTCCTGTACTACTGATCAGCAACCAAAAATAAAAATAAAAAACATTTTAAAAACTTCTGGCTTTCAATCTCATACATGCAATCAGTAATAAATAATTAAAATATAAAAAGTTAAATTCCCACAATCAATCATTACCCAATAAGAATTTAAAGCTTTTTAAAAATTAGAACTTTATTTCTGTGAAGAATATCAATGGTGTTTTGATAGGGATTGGATTACATCTGTAAATCACTTTGGGCAGTATGGTCATTTTGATGATATTAATTCATCCAATCCATGAACATGGAATGTCCTTCCATTTTTTTGTATCCTCTTTCTTTCATTAGCATTTTGTTGTTTTCACTGTAGGGATCTTTCGTCTTGTGGATAAATTTATTCCTAGATATGTGGGGTTTTTTTGTGGGTAGCAATTATAAATGGGATTGCTCTCTTGATTTCTTTCTCTCCTAGTTCATTGCTGGAATATAGAAATGCTACTGATTTTTGCATATTAATTTTGTATCCTGCAACATTACTAAATTTGCTTATCAGCTCTAAGAGTTTCTTTGGTGGAGTCTTTAGGTTTTTCTATGTATCAAATCATGTCATCTGCAAACAGGGACAATTTTACTTCCTTCCTTTCCAATTTGGATGCCCTTTCTTACCTTCTTTTCCCTAACTGCTCTGGCTAGAACTTCCAGTACTATGTTATACAGGAGAATGAGAGGGGGCATCCTTATCATGTTCCTGTTCTTAAAACTCATGGAACCACAAAAGACCCTCAATAGTCAAAGCACTCCTGAGCAAAAAAAATAAATCTAGAGGCATTACACTATCTGACTCCAAAATATACTGCAAAGCTATAGTAACCAAAGAGCATAGTACTGGTGTAAAAACAGACACATGGACCAATGGAACAGAATAGATAATCAAGAAATAAATCCATGTATTTACAGTCAACTAATCTTTGACAAAGGTGCCAAGAACGTACATTGGGAAAAGG